CAAGAGAATTACTTCAACCCAAGAGTATGCGGTTACTGTGAACTGTCACACCACAGTACTCTATCAGGGGTGCCAAAAAACAAAAGTCATTAGAATAAATCCACTAAGCCATGCACATGTGCTACGCAGCTCACATGCACAAAATATTTCCACACAAACTTTTCTTTGAAGTGTCCCAATGTTACTATGGAACTGATGGACTATATGGTTGGCCTTCACCCAACCTAGATCTCTCCAGTCTCAACTCTCCTTCTGGCCTCTCACGTAACTCCAAGGTGAGCAGGGGGTAGAAGGGAAATGGCAAAAGTGTGAAGTTGGAGGTAGTTGGTCTCTGAGGGAAAAATGGAAGAAAGAATGGGAGAGCATGACTTTCACCATTCTTTCACTCCCCAACTTTAACCTCTGTAATTCTACCTCAACTCTAATTCGAGGAGCTGAGTGCTCTCATGTCCAGAGGTCATAGCACTAACTTCTCCAAAGGCTACTCCACCTTTAATTTTAAAACCAGGGTATACTCCCAAACTACCATATTTTGTCATGTAAACTGCGTTCTTACATTTAATGCACACCCATGCTGGGCCCAAAATTTCAGGAAAATGTCCCTCAAGAAAGTGGTCAGCTCTAAGGTAAACGCAAATCTGGGAAAAGCTAAATGCCCCCCTCGTAAACATGCAGATCACACTGGAAGTCCCTCCCTCCTCACCGTGTGTGTGTGTGTGTGTGTGTGTGTGTGTGTGTGTGTGTGTTGAGGGTGGGGAGGAGCCATGATAGTCACACTTGAGGCCAAGGGGGGGGCTTCTGAGGCCACTGGGCCCACAAGCAGCTAGGTGGATCTCTGGGGTGTGCCCAGCCCCCCAGGCCCCTCCACATAGCTGGGCCTAAGGCCTTGGCCTTTGCCCCAAGGGCTACAATCCACCTTGCCAGCCCACTACTGCCCCCTCCCCAATCTGTCAGCTCCCACTGGATCCTGTATCCTCCCAGACTGGAACCTCATGTGGTGCTGGGCTGCTGGACCCAAATGGGAGGGTGCAGTGGCCCCAGGAGACCTCCTAGGCTCCCATGTTCCCAAGCCATACTCCCTGTGTATAATGCACATCCTTATTTTCCCCTTGAAAATTTGGTGAAAAAAGTATGTATTACACATGATGACATGCAGTACTTCTTGATCAACTCTCACACATAACCCAACTATTTCAAGCAATCATTTGTTATAAGAGATGAATAATTCTTCCAAAAGAAGATAGACATATACTTAAGCCAAAGATACTAAAAAATGGAAGACAAGGAGGCAAAGTGGCAGGGCTATGATTCAGCAGTAAGAAGAAAGTAGCACTTCAGGGAAAGTCTGTCCTAGTTTCCTATAGGCAGAAACAAAAGCAGAACTGGCCATGGGTCTACTGAGGAATAGCCAATCTCCAACCATCACAACCTCGAAAGCATCTTGAGAGAAACATAAAAGTAACTTTCTTCCCCACTTACCCTCCTTCCCTACAACTATCCTCAGAAAACCTGAAGGCATCAATGCATAAATAAATTGCTCACCACTTATGACTAGTATGCAGCAAAATAATCATTATATAAACTGTTACAATTTTTCACACAATCAAGAGAATTTTAAAAATAAACTTTATAATTATCTAATACAAACTGCTAAATTCACAAATGAAGAAATTGCTGTCACAGAGGGAACAAGTAGCTTGCCTATAGTCACAACTAATTGAGTTGTAGTTTAGTATTAACCATTTCATATATACTAATTGTATTAATTTTTGTTTCAACAACATAGATGATTCCTCATAAATTCAACAATATTGGAGGCACTACTGATAATTAATGCAGTATTTTTAGATGATCCAAATTTAGTAACATTTTTCTAATGGTACACAGAGGATAAGTTAAGAAGGAAAATTATATTCATTAGAACAAACTCATTTGATCATTTTACTTGATGTTACACCAATAATTCATTTATCCTTTTGCATGTGTTGCTCTAACATACAACTAAGTATAACAGTAAATGAAAGGAATTCATAGAAACAGTTTCTATTTTAATGTTTTAATATATGTGATAAGCTATGGGGCATTTCAATTTTAGTTGAAACATACTCAGTGAAACTATAAGACTATAATATAGTCTTTTTATTTTTACTTTTTATAATGGAAAATATCAAACACATATAAAAGTAGAGAGACTAGTTCAATGAACTCCCTCACTTACCCACCACCCATGTTGAATAATTACTGACTGATGGCCAATTTCATTCCATCCACAATCCCAATCATTCCTCCCACCACAGCTTACTATTAACAGATTATCTTTTAATGCAAGAAACAGTTCCCAAAGGTTTCCCTTTTTCTAAGTAATTGTGATATAAACATAAAAATAATAAGCAAAAGAAAACTCACCTGTTCCAATGTCATTACTAACACCAGAGAAAAGATCCTCATCCATACATTCAGGTAAGTTTTCTTCCTCCAGTTGCCCTTCAATTTTGCTTATTGTTTTTGCAAGAGAAAAGTCTGAGAAATCGTCCGGAATGGCAACATCATTAGCAGTTTCTACATCAGAGCATTTCAATTTAACACTAAAAAATACAGAATAAGTATAAATATATATGTGTGTGTGTCCACATATATATAGAAACATAAACAAAATAGAAAGTAGAAAAGAGATATGGCTTTTACCCAAATAACAAAAGCAGATCAAAATTATCATAAGTTTAGATTTTGAAGAAATCTACAGTTGATGCTTTCAAGGACTGTATTGCAGGAGACTTATAAATTTTAAATTTATGATGAAATCTACAATTGGCATTTTCCTTTTTTTCAGTTTTTGGCCGGGGCTGGGTTTGAACCTACCACCTCCAGCATATGGGGCCAATGCCCTACTCCTTTGAGCCACAGATTTCCAGTCTTTATGAATCACCCAACCACAGGTTGGGCTACACCTTGCCTCCAACTAAGTGAACACCAAAACTAAGAGTACTGAACTTGGACCTTTAGGTCTAATCCAATCTGTAGCTTTTAATTTTATATGGCTCTAGAGAAAGGCCTGTAATCCTATTTTTCTGTGAGGCCAGGCAGGTGTATCACTTGAGCTCAGGAGTTCGAGACCAGCCTGAGCAAGAGTGAGACCCCCATCTGTATTAAAAACAGAGAAAACCAGCCAGGCATTGTGGCAGCAGGCACCTATAATGCCAGCTGCTCAAGAGGCTAAGACAAGAGGAGTGCTTGAGCCCAAGAGTATCAGGTTGCTGTGAGCTATGATGCCACGGCATTCTAGCCCAGGACAAAAGAGTGAGACTCTGTCTTTAAAGAAAAAAAAAAAAAAGAAAGAAAAACATATCTCTGGAGAAGAACTGTACAATTGACCATAATTCTGCAAACAGCAAAGAATGATAGGGAAAGAATTACATAGTGAAAAAAGTTATTAGCTCAATCAAATTCAACGTTTTTTTCCACTTAAAGAAATACATTCAAACCAGCCTGACCAAAAGAACAAGATTCTGTCTCTACCAAAAATTAGAAAAATTAGCTAGGCACAGTGGCATGCGCCTGTAGTCCAAGCTACTCAGGAGGCTGAAGCAAGAGGATCACTTGAGCCCGGGAGTTTTGAGGTTGCTGTGAGATATGATGCCACGGTACTCTATCCAGGGTGACAGAGCAAGACTGTCTCCAAAGATCAAAATAAATAAATAAATAAATTAATTAATTAAGAAAAAGAAATACATTTTAAGCAGAATCAAAGTTAACCAAAAAGTTGGATTTCACTTTTTTAATGAAGTAGGGGAAGAAATGTGAAATAACACTCAATCCTAAAGGCACTGAGGAATATGCCGAACCTAACCCAGAAGTGTGTGGTTCAAAAAGCCTAACTTACATTTAAAGCATAAGCAAAAAAGGAAACTTCACATGTAAAAACAAGATAACCCTTTCCAGTTATACATATATATTTGTATGTATGTAGTATGTGTTCTTCTTTTCTTTAAATCTATTTTATATTTATTTTCTCTTCCTTATCCCTTTATTCTTTTTTCTTCCTTTATCAAAAGAAAACAAAAGTTATTTAAACAAAAGACAAAAGATGTTTTAATCTTTGTTATTATACAATTATAATTACGTAGTATAATATACATATGAATTTAACAACTTATTAAGAATAAGAAGCTGGTTGATCCAACACCATTCTCCTTTTCTAGAAAGTCTCCTGTGCTCAAGAGCCTCTTGGGTCCCTTTTTATGGTTATAATACTAAGGACAGTCTTGAATTCTTTTTTATCAAAAACAGCAGAATGTGAATTGTATATAATTCTATTTAGACCATGCCAAATCATTCTATTATCTCAATATACAAAATAATATATGGTGCTCTGTTATTCTAAAAGACTATTAAGCCTTCTAGATTTTGAGTATTTAACAGAAAGAACTTAATTAAGAATGATAGTACCGTGAATTATTATTATAAAACTAAAAAAGGAAAAATATTTTTAAAACTCTACCATACCTTGAATTTGTTTTCCTTTCTTTATTTCCAGAGTGTAGTTTGTTTTGAACCTTGTTTATCGAACCAATGTTTTTGGTCTTTGGCTATATGAAAATAATTGAAACTATTGATTAGAGGCTAATCATTTGCCAGGGAAAGGAGTTTTGTTAACATATAAAACTATTTTGTTACATAGAAGATTTACTACTTCATGTAATAACTCTACTTGTAATTTCAAGAATTCCAGAACTGTACAGCTAGAAAGGGCCTAGATATTATTAGCAGGACCAAGAAAATGAGTCCCAAAGGTTCAAGGATATTCAACTACCGTGTTTCCCCGACTGTCTTATTTTTATTTTTTCTCAAGAAGACACACTAGGGCTTACTTTCAGGGGATGTCTTACTTTTAGTAAATATAATACAACAATCTACATTTATTCAAATACAGTTAAGTCATCTTCTTCTGGAACCTGAAAGGGGGAGCCAACCTTGTTAGTGGGGCTGGTGCTAGTGATGCGTGAACTCCTTTCCCCTAGCTGTTCACATGTGTGCAATAGGATGCCTGCAACCATAGTTACCACACACGCACCCACACAAGTGCAAACAGAGAAAGGAGCTGTGGCAGATAAAAGGTATTCCAGTCTTCCTTACCACTCCGCCCCAAAATGCAGGGTGTGGGTGCATCACT